TGCTGACATTTAGGAATATTTTCTGGCCATTCCTTAACACCACCCATCATTAATTCATATTTGCTAAAAAACAAAATTAAACTACATATAATTTAAAATGAAAGTCCTCCTTTTCCCTGTTACAGATAATAGTTGTAGGCTTGATGTGATTTTTAAAAATGGATACACACCTACAAGTACACATATGTATGTATACATACTTTTTTTTTCCAAGCAGAAAGGTTTTATGCTATATATAATGTTCTCCAACCTTCCAAATTTCCATCTTGAAAAACCAGTAGAGCATGATTCTCTTTCCAGGTAGCTGTATTTCATTCTGTTTAATGATAGCACACTGTTTCTAATTTTCATTTTTTTCTAACAATGCTACAGCGAATGTGGTTTAGTTTTCTACAGGTCAGGATTCTATTTCGGCTCTTCTTGAGCACCATTTTATGCTTTCTATAAGCAAGTAGTATCTAGAATAGTGATCCATTTGGACTTAGCAATATTCACTGTGTAAACACAGACTGTCTCTTCTGTGGACCTATCTAAAACACAGCTTTGAGTATGGTTCATTCAATAACTATAAAAGGGTGGATTTTATGTTAACTTCAGTATGATGGACTGAAGTTTTACCTGCTTCTGGCACAGACTTGCAATTTGAGGACAGAAGGATGAATACTATGTAGTAAAAAATATTGTGAGCATAAAATGATGATATATGTGATGCTTTTTTAGTTTCTCTGAGGAATAATAAGATGTAAAACTATTTAAAATACAAATGTATTACCTCAGGCTTCTTCTCATAAAAGACCATATCAAATATAAGCCATATAGGTAGTTCCCTATAGTCCTTTATCTCCCAAGATAGCTGGAAATGGACTGTGGAAGTTGTGGAAGTGCGTGAGGGGAAGCTGCTTAGTAAGGATGAGGGGCAGTGGGTCTCATAGACTGTGAGTCTAATCCTACCTGCAGCACACCCTAGCACTGAAACCTAGTCATACCATTTTCACTCCTCCGTAAGTCATGTCACGTTCTTCTTTTAACTGAGTGTAGTAAAATCTGTTTATTTCACAGCCATATTATGTAAAGTCAAGATGAAGTGAGGTGAAACATAAGGATATTACCTTGAAAAATTTGCTAGTCATATGATTATGATGGTTCTAGTGATTAGGAATATTAGTGTGTTTGGGTACATCGGTGAGGGTTTATTCTTATGTTCTTTCAAGAAGATACCAACTAGTGAAAAAGTGGTAAGAGAAAAGTGATAGAAGGATGAGACATAGGTTTTTGGCTAACTTATAATTTTAGCAGGACATCAGAGTTTTGTTTCTCATAAATCTCATTAAGTACTATTTCTTATTTTTTATGAACCAAGGTAATATAAAATGTTGATGAACTGAAATTATCAGATAAATGGTGGCATAGATATACAAATTATTTGTGTTACCATTTAGGATAATTAAAATTAGGATCTGGCTTACATTTATATGATCTGGTTTATTGTTCATAGGTAGTTTTTCTAACTTCAAGTTCATTAATTCTTGGAATTTTTCCTTTTAGTGCTTCAAAATGGCTATTACATTATTATCATTATTATTATTAACTTTTTTTTTTTTTTTTAAGACTGGCCGGGCGCGGTGGCTCAAGCCTGTAATCCCAGCACTTTGGGAGGCCGAGGTGGGTGGATCACGAGGTCAGGAGATCGAGACTATCCTGGCTAACATGGTGAAACCCCGTCTCTACTAAAAATACAAAAAAAACTAGCCGGGCGTGGTGGCGGGCGCCTGTAGTCTCAGCTACTTGGGAGGCTGAGGCGGGAGAATGGCGTGAACCCGGGAGGCGGAGCTTGCAGTGAGCCGAGATCACGCCACTGCACTCCAGCCTGGGAGACACAGCGAGACTCCGTCTCAAAAAAAAAAAAAAAAAGACAGAGTCTTACTCTGTCGCCCAGGCTGGAGTGCCATGGTGCTATCTCGGCTCACTGCAATCTCCGCCTCCCGGGTTCAAGTGATTCTTCTGCTTCCACCTCCTGAGTAGCTGGGACTACAGGCACATACCACCATGCCTGGCTAATTTTTGTATTTTTAGTAGATGCGGGGTTTCACCATGTTGGCCAGGCTGATCTCGAACTCCTGACCTCAAGTGATCCACCCACCTTAGCCTCCCAGAGTGCTGGGATTACAGGTATGAGCTACCGTCCTGGCCACATTTCTAATCTTCAAAAAATTTCTCTTTATTTTTTGAGAACAAATTACTTGTTTTACTTCAAGGTTCCCATTTATTTATACTTTATGTACTTAAGAACTCTAAAAATCCAACCAATTTCAGTGATTTTAATGGCACTTAACTTTTTTCATCTTTTTATTAGAGAGGATTTTTGTTTGTTTCTATATTTAGGACCACTTTCCGAGTTCCTGTTTTAAAACTTCTTTAAAAAGTCCTTTTGGGATAAGAATTCCTAACTTCTTACATAGTAGATGATGGAAAGAATTCCTTGCATTTTTTTGAAATCTGTAATTACAGTTGTTCATTTCTTAGTAGTATTAAGGGCCTCTGGGCATATTTTACTGATTGGGGTCTTGTTACATAATTTTTATTATTTAAGCTAAAAAAAAAAAAACTAAGGCATATACTTATATACAGAGGTTTTTTTTTGAGGTCTTTCTGGATCTCCTTATTTAAGGTTTTAATTCCACTTCATTGTTTTCCTGCTCTTTTTATCCCCCTTCTCTGCTTAGTTTTCCTTCACTGCATTTGTCACCTTCTCATATAAACACAATTTACTTTTTTGTTTGTTTCTTTGTTCATGGTCTATCTTCCTTACTAAGGTGTAATCTCCCTGAAGGAAGGGATTTCTGTCTTTTGTGTTTACTGCTATCCAGTGCTTAGAAAAGGCACTGTATGAATACTTAACCGGACACTCATCCAAAAGTATTTAGTCAGAACTTTTACTTTTTTAGAGATGTTGATCTTGTTTTAAATTTTTGTTATAGTAAACTCTAACTTAGCTGAAATGGAAACAATTAGAAAGTTAATGTCAGCATCTTTTAGAAACTCTTATTTTATGAGAGACCCATGTCGTCTTCTGCCAACACCCTCAAATCAGGAATGTATTTAAAAACTCAACCCTTAAGATATAATTTGAAGTCAACATATTAAGCCTAATCTCTTGCAAGTTTCTGGGTGAGTGGTGATAACTGATGTTCCTATTTAATAATGGTGGTTTTGATGTGCGTTAAGATCCTGAAATACCTTCTGATTCAATAAAAGAAACAGAAAGAAAGAAAAGAAAAACCTCAAAATTGAGTTATCTTCATTATGGGATTTTAATGGTGATCTGAATTTGGTATACATGATAACTCAGTGTAACAGGACACTAATTCTGAAATGACTTTAAATAGAAGCTTAATTTTCTGTTTAAATGATTCATTTTTACTTTTTCCATTTATACTACGAGCATAGACAATTGTTCCTTAGTTGCAACTCTGATTGTTCCTTTTTCCTAGTTATATGTATGGTTTCCAGCAAGATGAAAACTATTCTGATTAGTAAGTTAAAATTGTTTGGCACAACCCTAAATACTTTGAATATTTTTATATGGAATATCACTGGAATTTTGTGGGTGCTGGTGACAATGATGATGTAATGAAGTTTTACAGGAATACCCTCCTAGGTAAAAGAAAAAAAAAATTAGTACCTCACAGTTACCAGGCACTTCCTGCATGTCAGTTACTCTTTCTTCCCACTCCCCACGCCCCCACCCCTCACCGCCCCAAGACGGAATTTTGCTCTGTCAGGCTGGAATACAGTGGTGCAGTCTCGGCTCACTGCAACCTCCGCCTCCCGGGTTCAAGTGATTCTCCCGCCTCAGCCTCCGGAGTAGCTGGGCCACTGAGCCCGGCCTGTCAGTTACTCTTTTAAGTGATTTTCATGTACTAACCAGTTTTTTCCTCACAACAACCTTGTGATATACGTGACTATTACTAACCATATTTTATAGATGAGGAAACTGAGGCACAGAAGACTTAAGTAACTCTCCCAACTTCACACAGCTAGTATGTTAGAAAGTTAAAGTTTATGCCCATGTCCCATTCTGCTTAAAATGAAGATGTTTTTATTATTTTATGAGAGGGCATTTGAAGTGATGTATCAATCAGAATACAGCCACACCAATTAAAAGCATACTGAGAATTTCAACAGGGAATGTAATATATGGAAATAGCTAAACAGATTTAAAAGAAAGCAACAACAGCACACAGAAGTTACATAAAATCAATAATTGCAGTGAGCAATCACTAGGGCTGAGGCACCAAAAGGAAGAGCTTGCGGTTATCAAAAAAATGGGAGGAGAAACCTCAGAGAGCTGAATCTTAGACTTCTAAGGAAAGGGAGGTGTGTGGGACTGCTGGTACTTGAAGAGCTGAAATTTACCTTTAACTTCTGAAGAGAGATATTGCCCAGCTGTGCTGATACTTCTGAGCGGCACAGAGAGAATGGTTCTGGTTGTGTGGGATAAAGCTAGAATGGAACCAGCTATTGTCACAGCTATTATCACTGGATGAACTGCAACTGGGGTCACCCTGACAGGAATAGTAAGCTAACAGGAAACAAATCCATTCTCCCCTCTTCTTACTTCCAGCCTCTCTCTAGAGCCTCTCTTAGTTTATGGGACCTAACAGGAAGCCATTTAATGAAGGACAAAGGTAGTGTATGGATCTCCAGTCTCAGCATCTGAAAGACCACAGAAAGATGAATTTGAAACTGAAAGACTGGAGTTTACAACTGGCACAGTATGAAACAAATTCAGGAAAATAATGGTGACATCTCTCTGAGACTAATCCAGTCAACAACTCACTATGTAAAATGAGTACTTGGAAAACTTGGGTAAAAAATAATATGAAAATGATGAAAAATTCAAATATTACCGTAGTATTTTAAATGGAAATATTATTACTTTGTAATATGTGTGGAAAAAAGTATTATTAGGAAAGTAATATCTCTTTTATTCATTTTAGATAAGATGGGAAAAAAACATCACATTGGGGGAACCACCAGGATTCTTACATTCTTGGTGGTGGTAAGTATCCTTTATTCCATTTTTACTGGCTTGATGATGCATTTCAATAGGCCTGTTTATGGTTTCATGCTTCCTTTTTATTTTTTCATTTTCTAAAATTTTCTGGAAGGTAGCACTTTTTAAAAGACCCTTAAAAACCAGCACTAGTGTAATTTAACTTAAATATACTACTGTTGAGTTCAACTGGAATTGGAACCAGTGTGTGGAATCTCCAACTGTAAGTACGATTCTATAATGGCTTGGGATGCCATAACGAAATACCATAGAATAGGTGGCTTAAATAGCAGAATTTTATTTTTCACAATTCTGGAGGCTAGAAGTACAAGATAAGTACCAGCATGATCAGTTTCTGGTGAGGGCTGTCTTCCTGACTTGTGGACAGTCACCTTTTCGCTGTGTCCTTACATATTGGGGAGAGCAAGCTGTTTGTGTCTCTGCTTACAAGGGAACTAGTCCCATCATGAGGGTCCCACTTTCATGATCTCATCTAAACCTAAGGATTTCCCAAAGACCCCATCTCCAACTACCATCACATTGGTAATGCCCACCCCCTCAAATCAGGAATTTATTTAAAAACGCAACCCTTCATTTCAATATATGAATTTGGGAGAGGGCTGGGTGTGGTAGCTCACCCCAGGTAGCCTGTAATCCCAGCACTTTGGGAGGACAAGGCGGGTGGATCACCTGAGGTCAGGAGTTCGAGACAAGCCTGACCAACATGGTGAAACCCCGTCTCTACTAAAAATACAAAAATTGGCCAGGCGTGGGGGCACATACCTATAATCCCAGCTACTTGGGAGGTTAAGGCAGGAGAATTTCTTGAACCTGGGAGGCAGAGGTTGCAGTGAGCCAAGACCAGGCCATTGTGCTCCAGTTTGGGCAATAAGAGCAAAACTCCATCTCACAAAAAAAAAAAAAAAAAAATTTAGGAGAGGATACAATTCATTCATAGCAGATAATTTTCTTGTCTTGAAGTGGCCAATGAGGTTGGCACTTTTTCTTGACTCTCTGATTGTCGAACTAGTTATAAGATTGCTTTCTACAAAGTGGGCTATCAAGTCGTCAATGTTAGACCACCATATAGGTAATTATAAGCGTTGGCATGCCATTATAGCTTCTTCAGACCCTCACTTCTCCTCTTGAAGGGATTGGGAATGGGAGATAATAATCTGATTGGCATCTTTTATGTAATAGGTTAATCTTGTAATAGGCCAATTTTGTTCCAAAATAACAGCTACTCATCAAACTCAAATCTCCCCAGAACAAGAGGGGAATAAGTTACAAATAAGCAGTTAGTGAAATAAGTTTATCTTCATTTTCTTGCGCTGGAAAAGCATATTCATGAGAAACAGTGACCTGATACAGTGCTCAACAGATACTGAACTAATCAAATAGATTTTTTTTTTTTTTTTTGCCTGGAAGAAGTAATGTTCATACTTTTATATTCCCTTGTATTTCTGCCACATTGTGGTATCTTTTAAAGTTTCATTTATTCATAGGCTTTGAGCATGTTTCTCCATGCAAACCTAGTAAAGTTTATTGCATTATCTCAATAAATACTTACTGAGTGTCTTGTATGGGCCAGATACTATGCTTGATACTATGGACACACCAGTGAATAAAACACACACACATCCCTATCCTCTTGCTGATAACAGTCTATGGGGAAAACAAATAATGAAGTAAGCAGTGAGAAAGAAGTATTTGAAGGGGATATGCAGAGTCCCATATAGGCACATGCCAAATACATTTCACCTGGAAGAACTGATAGCTAAGCCAAGGCATTAAGTAGATATAAGAGTTGGCCAGAAAGGCATGGAGAGAGAGAGAAGGGGGATGTTTTGGATCAACCATACCATGTGCAGTGACCTAGAGGTGAAAGGCAGAGAGAGTATAGCACATGGGAAGAAAAGAAAGAAATTCATTATGTTGGAAATTGGGGTGATAGAGTGATTAGGGATGAGGCTGGATTTGTAAACTGTGAATTTGAATTTAATTATAAAGAGAATACAATGCAGATATTTTTAAGCAGGAGAGTAATACTGTTTGTTTATATCTTGTCAAAGAAAAGAGTAAAACTGTACAAAATTAGAAAAGATTTATTTTGAGCCAAATATAAGTGACCATGGGCCCTTGACACAGCCTTCAGGAGGTCCTGGGAAGACGTTCCCAAGGTGGTCAGGGTGCAGCTTGGTTTTATACATCTTAGGGAGACACGAGACTTCAATTAAATACATTTAAGAAATACATTGGTTCAGTCTAGACAGACAAGACTACTCAAAGCGGGGGCTTCCAGATTATAGATAGATTTTAAAATTTTCTGATTGGCAGTTGGTTGACTTTATCTAAAGACCTGGGATCAATAGAAAAGAACTGTCTGGATTAAGATAAGTGATTATGGAAAGCAAATTTCTTATTGTGCAGATGAAGCCTGTAACAGGCTTCAGAGAGAATAGATTGTAAATGCTTCTTATCAGCTTTAAGGACTGTGTTGATGTTAACACTGGAGAGTATAATGAGGCAAGTCCCACTCCCACTTCCTGTCATGGCCTGAAGCAGTCTTTCAGGTTAAATTTTAAGAGTGCCCTGGCCAAGGAGGAAGTCCATTCAGATGGTTGGGGGACCTTACAATTTTATTTTAGGTTTACAACCATAGCCATATCACTCTAGTTCTGTAGAATAGATAATGGATGGAACAGGAATAAGTCCAGAAATAGAGGAGCACTTAGAAGGCTCTTGCGGTAAGGAGTAGAGAATGGTTACTTGAACTAGTGTATCATCAGTGGGGAGGAAGAGAAGCGGAAGGATTTGAGGGATATAAGCTTGAAGTAGAAGTGGTAGGATTTGGTGAAGAGTTCAGCTGTTTAGGTGTGCTGAAACTGAAATACGTGCCATCCAAGTGGAGATGTTGAGCAGGCAGCTTGTTACATGGGTCTGATGTTTAAAGGAGAGAGAGATGAAGCTGGGTGCAGTGGTGCGTGTCTATAGTAACAACTACTCAGGAGGCTGAGGTGGGAGGATCACTTGAACCCAGGTGTTTGAACCCAGCCTGAGCAACATAGTGAGACCTCATCTCTAAAAAAAAGAAAAAGAAAAAGAGAGAGAGAGAGAGAGAGAGAGAGAGTTGAGTGGTATTACCCATGAGTGGGGAGGAAAATGAGCCTTGTACAGAAACCTTGCAATATTAATATCCAAGGAATAAGGAGGAAGAAGAGGCTGTAAAGGAGAAAGAAAGTGGCCAGGCATGGTGGCTCATGCCTGTAATCCCAGCACTTTGGGAGGCTGAGGCGGGTGGATCACTTGAGGTCAGGAGTTCGAGACCAGCCTGGCCAACATGATGAAACCCTGTCTCTACTAAAAATGCAAAATAAGCCAGGCATTGGTGGCAGGCAGCTGTAATCCCAGCTACTCAGGAGGCTGAGGCAGATGAATCACTTGAACTTGGGAGACAGAGGTTGCAGTGAGCCAAGATCATGCCACTGTACTCCAGCCTGGGTGACAGAGTAAGACTTTGTCTCAAAAACAAAAACAAAAAACAAAAAACCAAAAAAAAGAGAGACACAGGCTCAGCTAAAAAGGTAGGAGGAAAATCAGGAGAGTGTAGCATAATAGAAAACAAGAATAAGTGAGGGTTTCGAGAAGGAAGAAGAAAGGTCAGTAGTGACAACGGTGACTGCAAGGTAAAGTAATCAGAACATATATGTCCTTTTAGGATTTGGGGAAAGGCCATTAATGACTTATAAAGCTGAGTAATGGGCTAGGAAGCAAGAATGTTTCAGATCAAGAAGTGACTTTGAAGGTAGGAAGTGGGAAATGGTATATAGTCAACTCTTTAAAATGGTTCATCTGTGATGAGAAATGATACCTGGAGGAATAGTATAGATTAGAGAGAGAAGTTTTTAATTTTAGATGGGAGAGACATTTGCATGTTTAGTGTTTAAGAGAAGGAGACAGTAGAGGGGCAGAGTCTGAAGATACAAGGGGAGAGGAGATGTTTAGTGGTTTAAAACTCCACACAAGGCCTGAGAGAAGGAGGTCCAAAGCACAAATGCTGGGAACTGAGAGGGGAGAGGACCATCTCTACCCTTGTGGCAAGAGGAGATGCAGGGACGTTTGTAGGTTTGGTATCAAGAAGTTCATTTCTTCTATTCCTAATAAAATACTGTTCCTTATATGTCCCTGCCTTCTGCCAATCTGGAATGTTTGCATAGGGCTTTCCTTCTGAATTTCACAATTTCTGGAACCTAGATTAAGGTCCTTACCCCTAATGTCATATCTTCCTCAATCCTGCCACTCACTGTCTAAATGCATGAGGAATGTCCCATGGAGTATTTTGCATTTGACTAGAAGAGAGTTTGGAATAGAAGACAGAATAGAAATGAAAGAAAAGTTTAGGTAATGTGCAAATAAAAGGAAGGGTTATAAAAATTATAGTACATTTGTTCTTGGGCTGTTATTACACATTTAATTATGATGAACACTATATAATGACAAAAGAAATGTTTAAGACATTTTAACAAAGCAGGACATAGTTGTATGTACAGTGTAGCATAAATGGGCATTAAGAGTAACAACAAAGAAAAATAATTTTGTTTTAATATGGTGGGATTGCAGATGGATTTTTTTTTTCTGCAAGTATTTCTATTACTTGTAAGTAGAGCTTTCCCTTCTATCTTCCCAATTTTCTACAATATGTTCATGGTGTTTGTGGAGATGCAGGATGAGGCAAGGAGAAAGGAAAACATGTGGATTCAGTATCTCAGCTCCATTACTTATCATTTCTGCAAGATTTTGTTGTTTCAGTCTCAGTTTTACCATCTGTAAAATGATGATGAGTCAAATTGATCTAGGGTTCAAAAAAATTAGTTCTTATTCTGATAGCTTTTTTTTTCCTCTGCAAAATAGGACATAAGGGTACTGAGGGTAGTGGTGGTGGTGATGATGGTGATGATGAATTTTTAAGAGAGTGAAGGATAGTCTTTAAAGAAAAGTTTGAAATA